GGGGGGGGGGGGGGGGGGGGGGGGGGGGGGGGGGGGGGGGGGGGGGGGGGGGTAGGCTGGTGCCATGAGCACGGAAACCGACCAACCTCGTTCGTGAGACAAGCTGACCGCCGTCGCTTGTTTGTGCGTTCGGAGGCGTTGTAAGAGGGGGTACTATCCCCCGAGGAGGAGGCGCAAGGAGAGAGCGTCATAATGATCAATTCCAATGCGAGTTGCGTCTCATCCCGCCCCCCCCTTCTTCCCCGCGCTTGTGCCGTCTGTCTTGCCAACGCAGCCTCCGCTTCGGGGTTAAGGTCGCGCCGGTGATTCTTGTGGCCGGATCGCTCCCGGTTGCTGCTTCTTCTGCTACCGCAGGCGACAGTATCAGCTCGTCGGCGCAGCCCACGAGCGCCGATGACGTCGGTCTCGGGTCAGGTAAGCTCCACCGCGAGGTTCTCGGAACGTCGTGAACTAAACACAGCTACCGAAGCGCGCAGTCACTTGTTGCTTTTACTTTGGACTTAACACGTCCACTCGTTACCCGGGCCGAGTTTAGGTAGGTAGCTGGCCAGTCCTCGAGGCCGCGTGTGTTATCGAGAGCCCTTACCCTCCCCCCCCCCAGTCTGTCTTTGAACGCTGCGGCGTCACTAAAGTGCATCTTCTTGGAGTTCAACGTCCTCTCTTTGCCCGGGCCGAGTTGTACTGGAGGTGACTGACCTGTTCCGCACAATCTTTGCGCATTTGGCTCGAGGCTTCGTGGACTGTCGAGCGCCCTCACTCTTGTTCTCGCCTCTGGCTTTGTCGTCACTGTTGTTGTTGTCTTAACATCAAAAACCGTTCCGGTCTTTCTACCATCTGTACGTACTACATAGTCTTATACTCGACGCGGTCGATTCCTGTGCTCACAGGCCAACTCACCCAACAAAGGCACATTCTAAAGAAAAAAGAAGAAACTCGAAGGGGGGTCCGCAAGTCAATAAAAATATCGGCGACAGATAGTCTCGGTAGAACCCTCCGGTCTCGCCTCTACACGCTATGCGAGGCTTTGAAACGACGAAGCTTGGCGCTTCCGGCTGGGTGGGACAGGGAGACACAGTCAGCTGGCTCAACACATGACGTACCCCCTCGCCGCGCCTCGCCAGCTACGGTATTCTACGACACAGGATAACACACCCCCTGGACCGATTTTCAGAGGTCGACTACGCCACGAAGGAGAGCATGCTTGAACGAAACGACACTTTGCCGGAGAGCTCTCAACGAGACAGCTTCAACGCCGCCGTTCTCGGCGCTGCGACTCTGTCTGCATGTTGATAAATCGAGCTGTGCAAGTCGGTCCAGGCGGTGTGTTATCTTCTGTCGCATACGGTGTAGCAGTTTCCGCGCGCACATCAATACCTCAAGGTTCGGTCTTGGTTGTTTTGTTGTGTCCGCAAAACTGAAGAATGAAAAATGTCCAAAAACAAGAACTGAACAATACCCAAACCTATATTTTTGTTGTGTCCGCAAAACTGAAGAATGAAAAATGTCCAAAAACAAGAACTGAACAATACCCAAACCTATATTTTTGTTGTGTCCGCAAAACTGAAGAATGAAAAATGTCCAAAAACAAGAACTAAACAACACCCAAACCTTTGTTGTTGTGTCCCAAAACCAAAAACTGAAAAACACAGTGCCAAAAATAAAACTCACCCAACTGTTTTATTTCCTTCTAACAGAGACAGTTGCGCAAAGTGTTGTTCTTTGTATTGTTTCCTAGCGGTAGTGCTACTGCAAATATTGCCGCTATAAATATTGCATGGATATAAGTGTATGGATTCGTATGGCCGGGCTTGCTAGTGGTGCTCAAGATCTTCTTGATTTTCTGCTCGGTTCCTAAACTGCCAGGATCTACATGTGCGACCACAAACTGTACCACCCTTCTGCCGCGCTAACGTGCCGTGCGTGTTCTTCCCGCGGTGCATGCGGTGTCGTGTCGTGTCGCATTGGCGTTGGGTGTGGTACCACCAGATGAGACCTGTGACCCGGAGGACGCGGATTGCCAAGGCGACGACACAGACGAGATAACCTTCTCGATGCTCTACTGGGTCCGCACGCTCTTCGTGTGGTACTCGGTGAGCCCCAGTATACCATTCCAACCAGAGGCAACATCACTACTGCTACTTTAGAACACGTCGCCCTCCTGCAGCGCGCGCGCGGACACAATGCCTGGCCCACCCACCCCGCTAGGCTTAGCGTGCTTGTTTAGGGCGGGCGTAGGGAGTGCGCGCGTGTGCTCGTGTCATGCCCTTTTCATGTGGCATCGGTCTACACAGTGTCTGCCGGGCTCTCACAGGAGGAAGGTCACACAGCCGTTTTTGATTTTTTTTCGTTTTTCCCCCATCGTTCCTCCTGCGGTGCTTGGTATATTTTGTTTTTCCCCGCGTAGGCTTGAGCCATCCTTTTCCCTTGTCGACCGTCGAGTCGAAGTGTGACTACTGACGAAATACATCGTTTTCCCCCCGCGAGTTGTAACAAAAGAAAACAATTCCCGATAGAGGATCGAACCCAAACCTTGCGATTGATTGTAGCAAGTTCGCGAAGTTTAACCGGAGCTACCGCAGGAGTATGCCGCGACGAAAAAATTAGTCAACGTGCGAATGGATCGGTTTTTGGCCCGAACCGCTGGCCGGACCTCTGACCTTATTTTGTTCCCCCGTGTAACCGCCGTTCGTTGTCGTCGTGAAAAACAACAGGTCGCGCGCGCGGCGTTCCTCGCCACCATGTACATCGCGGGGGCGGCAACGTCCCTGTTCGTGGCGATCAGGAGGAGGATGTCTTTGCCCGGCCCGAGAAGCAGCAGCGGCGGCGGCATCGGCGGCAGTACCTCTGGTTCTTCGTGGGTAGGGCGGGTGCTGGGATGTCTGATTCGCGGCGTAGGCGGCGGCGGCAGAGGAACGCCGGGCGCGCGTACCGCGGGCCTACGCACCCTCACGAGCGGCGGCGCTCCTGCGGCGGCGGCGCGGTCGGCGGTGATCATCGTCCCGACCGTCTTCACGGCCACGACCACCACCACCACGGCCGGCGGCGGGGGCGGCGGCGGCGGGTCTGACACTACTGCTGGAGGAGGGGTCGGCGGAAGCCGCCTCGTCCCACCCAGGCTTTCGCGCATCATTTCGAACACCGACCGCATCGTGACCAACGCACACGGGAACATGGACGACGTCCTCGTCGCTATCGCGATCCTGTGAAAAAAGTAAAAACGGGCCCCCGGCATCATCGTCCCGACCGTCTTCATTGCGGCCGGCGCTGCTTCGCCCGCCGGCTCGACTGCTGCGAATTCGCCGCTGCCGGCGACGATGCCTGCCATCGCCCCCGCTCCAGGCGGCGATGCTCCGGCCACCGACACCACGACCGGCGGCGGCGGCGGCGGCGGGGTCTGACACCACTGCTGGAGGAGGGGTCGGCGGAAGCCGCCGCGTTCCACCCAGGATTTCGCGCATCATTTCGAACACCGACCACTTCGTGGCCAACGCGAACGAGAACATGGGAGACGTCCTCGTCGCTATCGAAGATCCCGTAAAAAGAAGCATCGCGGGTCCCCCGCGATCCGGAGGCTGCCTCAAATGACCGCGGTAGGAGCGTAGCAACTTTTACGGCGGTGGGTCTCTTTGGTAAAAACAGCGTGCCCGAGGGATTTTTAGTGCAGTATTTTTTTTTGGTACGGTATGCACCGAAACAAGCACCATTTTTTTGCGGGTTCATGTTAATAAGGACGAGTGAGTTGCTGATATTTCGAGTGCGTTATGTCCAATAAAAAGAAAAAAACACCTCTTGAATGGGGATGCTTGCTCCTTCTTTCATGAGAGCTTTCATCGACGCGTTTTTTCTTTTCCAGGTGCGCGACATCGCCACATTGGCACACGGTTGTGCACGCGTTTTTGGTGGCCTCTTCGAGGTGTTTCGTCCCTCTCTTGCCGTTTCGATATTCCAGCCCTTTCGGCTTGCGAAGTAGTTCATAGCAGATCGAATACCTGCTGTCTGGGCCAAGCCCCCTCCCAGACGAAGTTTCTTGCGCAGTTTTGGTCTTTTGGCGGGTGGGGTATTTCACGCGGCAAGTTTCGATAGACGAGGACTGTATCGACCAGCCAAAGCAGGGGGTACAGATTGAGCGGCAGTATAGAGGGCATGGCGACAACGGCTGGGGTATAGTCTCATGATTCGGCAGCTGTTATTTTTTCCTTTTCGTAGCGGCGCCGTCCTGGTCTGCTCGTATGACGTCCACATGGCGACCCGTTTTCCTCTTGGCGGGGACACGGGGAGTACTTTGGACCAACGGGCAGCAAACTCGGCATGGAAGATGATGGCGGTGCGTTGTTGGGACCGGAGTCAACGCGGATTATATCCAAGTGTCTCGGGGCCTATTGGGGCTTGTGTACTGGTTAATGGCAGTCACTTGTCAGGAGGTCCGTCGAAGCTCCGTGGTTTCTTGTCTGTTTCTACGGATGTGTTCGACTCTTGTGCATGTGCTCAGTCACGTCTTTTATCAGCCACCCCTTAGAGGTGGAGTCCCGATAGAGATGCGGATCCATGGCCAATCCTGGCAAGTCTTATCACATTATAACAATGTTTTGAGCGGGATGTGACTTGAGTTTCTCGCAGCTGAGGCCCTGGCACCAGTCTATGGAGCGCAACTCGGCAGGGAAGATGGTGGCTTTGCGGTTGGGAACAGGGGTCAACCCGGACTATGTCCGAAGAACATCTCGGGAACTCTTGGAAGGTTTATGAGCAATCTGACTGTCGTGTTGGCACCGCAAGCCGTTGACCCGTTGGCTTGTGAGCACGTACATACAACTCGTCGAGGCAGACGTGTACAGCAGTGCCAACCCCCTCGAGGGAACCCCCCATTTTCAGCAAGGCCAAGAGCCTTTGCGGGGTCTAAAGAATTGAGCAAGGGGCTATCTCGACGCTGCTGAATACTTCCAGGTTTTCGTGTGGTGCGGGCGGCTGAGCCCAAGCTCTTGCGCCGTTGTTGTTCCTATATTTTAGACGTTTTGAGCCTTGATTCCTTGGAGCAGGCCAGCCTTGGAAGCTGAAAAAAATGAACAGGAGGGGAGGAGAGAGAACGCTCGCGATTTCGGTAGGGATCGGGATTGATTGAGAGCGGGCCTCACTTTTGCCTGGGCTAGCATCCACCGAACGAATGCAACCATCTGTCCGAACTTTCCGCCATACGCCTTCAACATCATATTTCAACATCATATTGCCACACAAGGAGTACATCAGTAGTGGTCAACAGAAACCTCCATAGCAGTAAGCGGCGCATTCACGCCATACAGTGAGCATTCGCATTTGAGAATCTCTACATTATATTTTTGGCCAAGGCTGAGAGGTTCTTCCGTAGTTCGTGCAGGACTAGCGGGGCCTCGTCGGCACCAGGCCAACGCTTGTCGGGCGAGGGAGTGCCTCAAAGGATCAACGGCAAACAGGCTGCACTGCAAAGGGAAACCACCGTCTGTGCCCTGTTTGGTCCTGTACGGCAGACTTGTGAATATCAGTTATGTAGATGTTTGGCTCAATCGTTCGCCTGCTGTAAGAAATGAGCAGCAGGAGCAGCAGCGGCAGCAGCAGCAGCAGCAGCACCACCACCACCACCACCACCACCAGCCGTGGGAGATTAAGAAAGGGCCACCTTAGGCCACTTGTTACGCTTTCTCTTTTTGGGCTGTCCCTTTTCTCAAAAAGGGACAAATGACCAAAAAGGGACAGGATGGGGTGATCTTTTTTCGCTGTCCCTTTTCGGGAGGTTCAAAAACGCAAAAAAAGACCACGTAAACAAGTGGTTTTTGGTCAGTTGTCCCTTTTTGAGAAAAGGGACAGCCCGAAAGAGAAAGCGTAACAAGTGGCCTTATCCTCTGGAGAAGGGGTAACGCCAGCCTCTGGTGGAAAGTATCTATACGTCATGGGGAACAAACCGTATTCCCGAACGTTTTCGGGTGAAACCGACGGCAGCACTCAAACGTGTTCACCTTTTGTACATGATGCTGCTCCAGGCCCTATAGTCTATGCACCAGGTCAGTCGAGGTGAACATCATAACTACGGCAAGGTTCGGTCTCCGGCTGTGGGTATGCACACGGAAGCCCGGAAACCGGCGGTTGGCTGCGGTGGAATGTTTTTCGTACAATGTTGTTGGTGAAGGGGGGGTGTTTTCAACAGTCCCACGCTTTGCTAACCCTTGGGGTCCATTTTATTTTGGTATACCTTTTCTAGGTACGTTAGCCTGTGACCACGGAGATTGTTGTTGTTGTTGTTGTCTTCACATTAAAAACCATCCCGGTCTCTCTTTCCAGTACCTTCTTCTGTCTCAATCTCTCCGTACTAATCCATCACTTGACTCGGCCAATTTCCGTGGTCACAGGCTAACGTACCTAGAAACGGTATACCAAAATAAAATGGACGCCAAGGGTCAGCAGAGCGATAAAATACAAGAAAACAAAATATAATCAGAAACAAATAAAATAAAATAAAATAAATAATTAGACTAGTGGAACGGCCGCACCACCAGCCTGGGGGGGTAGCCTCCCACTACATGGAGGCAGGTCGACGGCCAAAGGAAGGGGCGGGGGTACGTGCCAGTAAAAAACAAAACAAAAGACAAAATAAAACAGAATAAAGCAAAGACGAG